ATATTTGCATGTATTTCGCCCATCCTTGCATCAACATCGCTTAAAATGGGATACTAAACTCTGTTCAGCCTTAAGTTGAGACTAGAAGCTCCCCTTTTGGCGCGAACGTTCTGCCCCAGCTAACATAATCATGACCGCGCAGGAGCACGCAACCAAATCACTGCAGAAGCCAGCGAGCTCGCGCTGAGTGAACGGTGTATATCGACACTAGATTCCTGCCAAATTCTTGTGAGCATCCCTCAGACAAACGGCTATCTCAAAGTACTCTCGAGATGACTGACTTGCCGTCACGTGACGACGTGACATAACCTCGTAACGCCAGTCAAGTCATCTATCTGGTCACGCGCTTTCAGATCTATGCTCTTTCTGTGACGTTCTTCATTCTTTATTCAATAATTACCCGGCAGTGTATAGGAGCCGTTACATCAGAGGATTTACGAAGATTTAAAGAAAAACACATCCTCCTTCAAACAGCACACATGTTCTTCCGTGAACCGATTCCATAGTGAAATCCTTCGAACGAAAAATAATTAGCAAACATGCTTTCGTAGCGTGGTACACTGTTATGTTTAGACTATGATCATTCCGACCAGGTATATAGGGTGTCCCAAGTCACCAGGCTCGATCTAAAATGGCCCGTAAAAATCGGCGCCCTACAGGAAACAATCTCAAATTTTCGTCAAAGATGTATTTCACAGGTCGCTTTTAAAACGCAACTCTTAGGCGCCCGTTTCCGGCTTGAGCGGCGTCAGCGTCGCCGTCGGTGTCGGCATCGGCGTCGCCGTTGGCTAACCGCGCGGTGCATTATGGGACGCGTGACGTCACTGATGACGCCATCAGTGACGTCATCAGTGAAGTCATCGGCACAGTCATCGTCACTGATGACGTCATCGGCATCCGCATCGTCATCGTCCCTGATGACGTCATCAGTGACGTCATCGGCATCGGCATCACCATCGTCATCGTCACGTGACGATGACGATGCCGACTCGTCAGCTGACAAAGAGGACGTGTTTTCTGGAGCTCCTGCGAAGCTAAGTTATTTTTGGTGTATTTAGTTGCGGGTGTGTTTATGGGGTAGTAGAAAACAGTTTTTAAGGTAGTGATAGGATAGGCTTGCTTGTTGGATCTTCTTCGTTGGTGGTGTTGCGCGCTAAAGACAATAGGCCCACCCCATTGGGGTTGATCCTCCAGGTTTTACAGGCCTACTGCAAAGCATTTTTGGTCTTATGCTAGTGGTCTTATGGGTACACGAAAGCAGTTTTTAAAGGAGCGATAGGATAGTCGGGTTAAAGCAGGCTTTTTAGGTAGGGCCACGAGACCGAACCACCTACACATTTGAAGCTTTTGGCGGCCTAGTTGGTTGTGTGGGCAGTGGCGTACCCAGGCTTTCTTGGTTTTGAGTTTTGGTGGGATATTTGTCGTGGGGTCGCGCTGTGTGTCGGTAGACAATGGTGAATACGCGACAGAAGAAGGATGCGCAGCCTAAAGTAAAAGAAGGACCCAATGTAGAATGTGGAGAGTGTGGCCGTTGGTGCTGCATGATGGAGACGGTGTTCAAAACTGCAGCAGAAGCCGAGGAGGGCAGCTTTACCTGCCGGAGTTGCGAGAAGGTAGAACTTGGTTATGGGAGAATAGGAAGGGAATGGGCGGATACGGTTCAGGAGTTGAAGCGGGAGATACGAGTAGTGTTGCAGTCGCTGCGGGTCGTCACAGTAATCGTTCTATTGTCACACAACGAGCAACGCTTTAATATTTACACCGCTGAGAATAGTACATCGGCATTCGAAAGCTTGCAAGGTCAAAACGTTCAATCGTTCACGTTCATCGTCGTCGTCGTTCTTCTTTTCCTTTTCCCCGCTTTTCGTACGCACGTGCCGGGGCAGCTTAGCAGACTTCTTTCTTTTCTGCTTCTACTCCTTGTTCGTCTAACGCCAACAGAGGTTTATCCGACGTTAGTTGCAACACACTTTCCACCGAATGGGTTCGAACCCATTCTAAATTTCAGTTACTTCTATTGGATGAAGCAATTGTACCGGTCGTTTCAGCAACAATCCCCTGTTTAAACGCACGACACATGAACGAATCTTTCCATCCCGACGGAAAAACACCTCATCAATCCTGCCCATCTTCCACAGCAAACGTGAAAGCTGCTCCTTAAAGGGGCCCTCCGGAGCTTTCTGCGATCGTCTGTTTATGTTGTTATATTGCGTAGGTTAATATGTATACAAAGTTTTAGATTACAAAACCGTTTATTAAGCAGATGCCAGTAGAAATATATCGAGACTATTTTCTCTTAGAAGACAATCCCCCATTCCCTGCCCATCGCTAAAACTTGACCAATGGAAATGCTGCATCTCGCGGTGAATGCGAACGTTATTATTGCAGCACTTTTTAAGCTTGTTGTAAATTAGAGTTTGAGAAAAACGTAAACTGATTGTGGTGCAAGAGGCATAGTCCGCAATTATCGCTCCAAAACCAGCGAGCTATGTTTTCTCCCCGCAAGCTTGTTGCTAGGGGGTGATGCGTCGGCGCGTCGGCTCGTCTGCTTCCCGGGGCGTCTACAGGCGTGCGTTTGCGGTACACGTGTTCCTTCTTCCCGTGGATCCCCACTCCGAAGCGAGTTTTGCAATCCTTCCACGTCAACGAGTCAAACTTTTCTTTGTCATCTGTGGAATGCGACTGCGTATTGCAGTAGCAGGGCGACGGTGCGGTGCGACGAACGACGACTGCCGAGCACGAAGTCCGGGCCCCTTCACGACGGTCCGCGCGTGTTCGAGAGATTTCTCCGCGGGTCGGCGGACGGCCGCGTCGGTGACGCACAGTGACGCCGGAATCCTTCGCTTGCTATTGGCTGACGCGTAAATAGATGCCCCTCCCGTTTTCTGGGGTCATCTCAGAAAGGGGGGCGCGCCGGGGACTTTGATATCAATTTTAATAGGGAAATCCGCCGCGCATGACGGTAATTTTATGATTTTTAGGATCCTTAGGGCCTGTAGATTGAGTTACCGCCATAAATAGACCATCGCAGAACGCTCCGGAGGGCCCCTTTAAGCAGGACAAGCTGTCCAACCTGAATGGGTGTGCATTTCCGTTGCTTTCTCTCATAGGCGGATCGGAGCTTTCTTAGATAGTCCGATCGCCACGTCTCCCAAAATCTGTTAAGAACCTCCTTGCTGCGTCTCCAAAGCTGGCGGAGCACCTCAGGTGACGAAGCGAAGTCTTTTTTCTCCGCCACCGGAAGCGCCGTCAGCCTTCGTCCCATGAGGAAGCTTGCAGGAGTGAGCGACTCGCCCTCGTCGATCTCATTGTAGACAAATGTGAGAGGCCGTGAATTTACTACGGCTTCAATCTCGCATAGAACTGTATGTAATTCTTCCGAGTCCAAACATTTCTTACCGATAACTTTCCTGAGCCCAACTTTCACCGATCGGACGAGTCGCACGTAGAAGCCTCCCCACCATGGCGCCCGCTCAACAATATAGCGCCACACAATATTCGCGTTGGCGAAGTGGTCTACCACCTCTGGGTGTCGGAGCGTCTTCCAGAGTTTGGCCAAGTCATTGGACGCCCTCTTGAAGGACAGTGCATTGTCCGAGTACACGATGCGACACAAACTCCTTCGCGACACAAACCTTCGGAACGCAAGCAAGAAGCTTTTTGTCGAAACGTCCGGCACGAGCTCCAAGTGCACCGCGCGCGTGACGGCAGAGGTAAACAAGGCGATGCATGACTTATGCGTGAGTTCATTTTTTTGCACGTACATCGGCCCCGCAAAGTCTATGCCGACCACCTCAAAGGGATCAGCCTGCGTGGTTCTTGTACTCGGCAAAGGTCCCTTTGGAGCACTGGCAGGAGTGGCACTGAACCTCTGGCAGGTAACGCAAGCATGCACTACCTTCTTCACCAATTGCCTTCCGCGGATGACCCAGTATCTTTCGCGAAGCTGGATGAGAGTGTCTTGTGGCCCCCCGTGCATCACCTGTCGGTGAGCTTCGATGGTCAGCAAGGCAGAATGCCGGTGTTCGTTGGGCAGCAGGATGGGTTCACGTTCATCACGAGTCAGGTTTGCTGATCGGATACGGCCTTTGATCCGGAGCACTCCCTCTTGGTCGACAAATGTTTGGAAATTTCGCAAGGCTGAACCAGGCGTCGCTGCTTTTTTTTTCAGCTGCACAACTAATCTCGGAGGCAAACGTCGAGCTTTGTGCCTTCTTTATCCAAACGGTTTGTGCTGCTTGGATCTCCTCAGCGCTCAGCGGTCCAGTAGTTTTGATTGGTGATCGAAGGTTATGGACAAACCGAAGCACCCAGGCTGTTGTTCGGTGCAGTCTCGCCGCCGAACTGAATCTCGAGCTGTCCATGAACCCCACGAAAGTGTCTGCAGGCACTAGCGTGACTACAACTTTCGAAGCTTTCTCCTCGAGCTCGTCGTGGGAAAGCACCCCAACAGTTTCTTCGGGCCATTCGGTTGCTGGAAGCTGTAACCAAGTTGGTCCGGTCCACCAGAGTGAAGCAAAAAGCAGTCGATCAGCTTTCAGCCCTCGGGTCGTCAAATCTGCGGGATTTTCCTTACCCGGGCAGTGGTGCCACTTTGCGTCCCCTGAGTTTCCTTGTATCTCCAGTACTCGGTTTTTGACAAACGTTTTCCACCTGTAGGCCTCTCCTCTTATCCAGTGCAAAGTGATCATCGAGTCCGTCGAAAAGTGAACTTCGTCCACCTGGATTTCGAGGCATGTCTTGACGTACTTCAGTAGTCTCGATCCGATCAAGCTTGCCATGAGCTTCAGTCTCGCCAAGGAAATCTCCTTCAAGGGGGCGACGCGGCACTTAGCGAGCAATATTGTCGCCTTCTTCGTTCCCCTGTCGTCAGTTGAACACAGAAAAATAATCGATCCGTAGGCGGAAGAGCTGGCGTCGGAGAACACATGCAACGCTCTGTGTATGATTATGTTGCTCAGTCCGCTGTCGTAGTACCTGGGCACGCTGATCTGACCCCGTTAGGTGAGCTCGTCGCACCAGCTCTCCCAGTCTCCCATCAGTTCACCCGGCAGTGCATCATCCCAACGCAGGTTCCGCTTCCAGGTCTCTTGAAACAAAATCTTGGCTCGGGTCACGAAAGGAGAGAGGAAACCTAGTGGGTCGTAGAGTCGCGCCGTGGTCTGGGGCACGAATCGTTTGTTGTTTCTGCGTTGGCTTGTAAACTCGACCACCTGTTCTGTTGTGAAAGACAGTTTGTCTTCGTTCGACTCCCAGGTTATACCCAGCACTTTCACCACTCCCGTCAGCTGTCCAAGGGCTCTCTCTTCCGATACGTTGTCCTCCAGCATTTTCTTTAGGACCGCACTGTTGGACCCCCACTTATGAAGCTTCATCCCAGCTGCCTCGAATATTTTGGTCGCCTCGGCGTAGAACTTCTGGGCCGCCTCCTTACTTTCTGTGCCGGTCAAGAGGTCGTCCACATATACTGATTTTTTTTCAGTTTTTCTGCTGTTTGTGGGAACTCGCTCTCCATAACTTGGTAATGGTGCTGTAGGGTTATTCCCAATAGGAAAGGACTGCATGTGGTACTCAACGTTACCCTTGTCATACGCCAGACCTCGACTTCTGGGGTTGGTTGGTCTGGGTGAGGCGGTTCTTTATATCAGAGAAACCGCAAGGCGTCGCGGTCCTCCTCGTGTACACCGATCTGAAGGAAGGCTTTCTCGACGTCTGCAATTAGTGTTGCCCGATGTTGCCTAAACCTCAAGAGTAGGGCCACCAGGTCTGGATTCAGGTTCGGACCGCCTTCAAGGTTGTCGTTCAATGATCTGGAATTCGGTCCGTGCGAAGAGGCGTCGAACACGATCCTCATTTTTGTCGTGCTGCTATCCTCTCGTAGAACAGCTTGGTGTGGCATATAATAAGCACTTCCTTCGGAGCCGTTTATCTGTTCAACCTTCTCGGCCATCCCGTTATCTGCGTACAGCCGGATAGCCTGGTCATACCTTCGCATGAGATCTGGGTTTTTGCTTAGCTTCCTTCGTAGACTTTCCAGGCGCTTCCACGCCACATCTCGGTTGCATTCTAGTTGCACGTCCGTTTTCCAAGAGAGGCCAACCTCGTACCTTCCCTTCGTCTTGGCGATGCTTGCTTCAAAGCGTCGCATGATGTCATTATCTGACTGATCTCGGTCCGTCTCTTCGAGTAATCCCACACTTTCAAGCTCCCAGAATCTCCTCAAGATGGATGGTTCTTGTTCGTCTACAGCAGATATGAGCACTATCACCTGGGAATAATTAACAGTATCGGAAGTCAACTGTGTGGATCCATGTATTGCCCAGCCAAAGGCGGTTTCCACTGCGGTGAGGCTGTTGCTCAGTCGTTGGATCCTTCCTGTTATACATTCCCAGTAATGTTCCGATCCCAGTAGTATCGCTACTCCGCCACAGTCCAGTCCGTTCACGTCGTCACCCGAAGTAAGCCCGAGTTCTTCCATTTTTCCAATGACGTCCTTCTCAGGGCCAGGGAGTTCTTGCTCGGAGATGGAATGCGTCTCGAGGGCGTCGATCTTGTATTCCTTGCCACTGTGTTGGTTGCGCAGAATCACTTGGACTCTGCGGTACGTTCGTTCCCTATTCTTGCCTCCGAACACTCCGACCGTCAGGATCTCGGTCCCGAGCAGTTTGCAACCGAAACTCCTCGATAACTCTTTCGTGATGAAGGAGCGCTGGCTACCACTGTCAAAGGGAATTCGAGCTCGCTTTTTCCTGTTTTTGCCTTCCACCACCGCAGTAACCGTTTGTAAGAGTACTGCCGGCTTGTTTTCTTCGTTTACATGTAGGCTAACTGGTGCTTCGTCTTTCTTTTGCTGTGCGTTGAATCCGTCGGCAGATCGTCTCCGAGTATAATCTGGGTCGCACATGCTGGAGGTATGTCTGCCTCGGCACCTGTTGCAGCAGGGTGTACCTCGACAGATCCTTGCCATGTGCCCCACTTTCGTGCACCGGAAGCATCTCTGGGCGTTTTGTAGCCTGCGCGTCTTTTCAGCTAGCGTTATCCTTGAGTTGCAGTCGGGTGTTCCATGCTTTTTTGAACTGCAGAAGAAACATTCGAGACCTTCCAAAACACCATGCAGAGCCGTAGCAGTAGAGGTTCGTGGCATGTCGGGATCTGTAGACGTCTTCTGCGCCTCGCGCTTGGTGAAATGGGGTGTAGACTTACCACCAACCTCCTCTGGCCGTTCTTTAGATGCCTTTTCCTGACTCTCCACCTCGATGTGCAGAAACTCGAGGAGAGTCCGAAGCGCTCTCGGATGTGTGCGATCTGTGGTAGGTCCTAAAGTTGTCTGTGACGCTGGTGCAGATCTACTGGTGGTGGCACTCTCAGCCTCACCCTGCAGTGTCTTTCGGTGGTATTCGATGGTCATTTCTCTTGGGAGCGCTCGAAGGAGCACCGGGTAAAGCATTGAACAGTAGGATTCTTCGCTCACGCCCAGTGCCTTGAGACCCCGGATGCGAGCTTGCAGGCTATCATACAATCGCCGCAGGATTCTGACGTTGCGCTGAGGTGGAACACGTTGTATGTCCATGAGGCTTTCCATGTGATCCTGGATTAGCGCTTCTTGATTCCCGAACCGCCGCTGTAGGAGTTCGATGGCGTCTGCGTAGCACTCTGCTGTGGGCTGAAGTCCATCAATGGCTGCCGCTCCATCCCCTGTTAGTGCCGCCTTTAAGTAGTTAAACTTGTCGCACGATGTCAAGTCGGGGTTTTGGTGGATTGCGGCATCAAACTGGTTCCAGAAAGGCAGCCAGTTTTTCAGATGTCCGTTGAACTTGATTAGTTCCAGCTTTGGAAGTCTGACCTTTTTTGATGTTGATGCTGCCAGTCTGTCTCCGTTTTCGTTCAACTGACTGGCACTGGCGGAATGCCCCGCTCCCGTCGAGCGCCTTAACTGGCTCTTCAGCTTGGTTATGTATATGACAATCTTGTCTGCGTACTCAACGACTTGCGCGGATTCAGCATCTTCGTCTAGTTCCGAAACAAGAGGTTCGATGGCGGAATCGACGTTGTTAAGTTGGCCCTGAGCTTGTGTCAGGCGTTCAATGAGCATCTTTAGCTCAGCTACGTTCGGTCCTGGGGCCCTTAGCAACCCTTCCGCGTCGTTCACCAGTCGAGTTACCTGTGACCGGATGGCCTTGCGTTTTTTCTTGAGGTCTTCGATTGTACGTGAAGAGTCAATCACGTTCCAGCTTTGAAGTATCCGCAGCGATGTCAGTCCCGGGTTTCGGCACCAATTTTTGTTGCAGTCGCTGCGGGTCGTCACAGTAATCGTTTCATTGTCACACAACGAGCAACGCTTTAATATTTACACCGCTGAGAATAATACATCGGCATTCGAAAGCTTGCAAGGTCAAAACGTTCAATCGTTCACGTTCATCGTCGTCGTCGTCCTTCTTTTCCTTTTCCCCGCTTTTCGTACGCACGTGCCGGGGCAGCTTAGCAGACTTCTTTCTTTTCTGCTTCTACTCCCTGTTCGTCTAACGCGAACAGAGGGTTATCCGACGTTAGTTGCAACAGGTAGAGCGGGAGAAGCGGGTACAGCTCGAGGCGCAGGTGGGAGACTTGATTAAGAGGCCCGAAGCGGATGTGGAGGAGATGACCAGGGAATGGGAAAGTAAGGTAGAGAGCGTGGCGGGAGAGCTGAGAGGAGAACGGGAACAGAGAGGTGAGCTTGAGCGACAGGTAGAGGAGCTTAGACAGGGAAAAGAGTGGAAGGTGGAGTTGGAGGAGCATAAGAAGAAGTGTGAGGAGATGGTGCAGAAACTGAGAGGAGTAGTTAATAAGGAAAAGGGGGAGGTGGCAGAGAAGACGGCGGGGGGGTGGCAGACATAGGGGGCCAGTTAAATAGTGATGAGGTGTTTGACTGTGTAGGAAAGGAGCTGCACAGCTGTATAGTGCTGCAGTAGAGCAGGGTTCGAGGAAGGCAGCAGAAGTTGAGGCAGAGAAAGCACAGATAACTGGAGGGGGTGAAGACAGGCAGTCGGGGGTTAAGAGGGTGCTGGTGGTAGGGGACTCAAACATAACAAAGGTTAGGGAGGGGCTGCTGGACAGAATGAAAGGGGATGGGAGGATAAATGTAGTGGCTCAGTCAGAAAAGTGCACTGTAAACGCTATGGCCAAAGCGAATAAGGTGGTGTGGGAAAACAGGGAGGGAGAGAACCTAGTTGTAGTACACGGAGGACTAAATGATGTGTTAAATGGACGGAGCCAGAACCTCGCCAGGCAGATAGAGTTGGGGTTACGTAGGCAAAGGGACGTCTCCGAGACTGTACATGCGCAAATATGCACCGTCCCAGAGGTCTGGGGACAGTCTTTGCAGATAGAGAAGCGGGTGGTGGAAGCTAACCTGGTGATAAGGGGGTTGAGCCGACGATTTGTGTACGGAGTAATGGAAGTAAACAGGGTGGTGTACGAGACTCGCTCCGACCCTTTTACATGGGGCATCCACTACAGTGGAACCACTGGGAGCATGGTAGGTGATAGGATTGGACGTCACATCGTACATTTTTTGGGGGTCCCGGAGCCCTGAGGGTGCCATTGTGAATGGGGGCCAAAATGTAGATACAGAGGGGAGGGTTTCGGAGGGTGAGAGGAAGCCTCGCAGGACTAGGAAAAAGAAACAGCTTAACATAGGGTTCATAAACATGCAGGGGGACAGGAACAGAATAAAGTGGGAGGAGATTGAGGAGCAATTAGAGAGCGAAAAACTTTGGAGTGTATGGATTAGCAGAAACACATCTGAGGGATATGGAAGAACCACCATGCATACCGGGATATCTTTAGATGGCATGCAACCGGGCCAAAGGGGCAACGCAAGGGAGGGGGATTAGGGGTGTTAGTTAAGGGTCATGACTAGGAAAGGGAACTAGAGGGCTGCAGGGAACACATGTGGGTCAAAGGCAATATTGGGGGTTTGGACACAATCCTGGGTTTTGTGTATCTAAAAACAGGGAGTGATGCAGGGGAGGAAAATGCAGAACACTTGACATGTATATCAGGAGACGTTAGGGAAATCGGTACTAACAAGGAAATAATTATCTTAACCCTACCGAAAAATCCGGTATAAATTTTCGCTATCCGGATTATGGAACCGGAAATCTATCTGGATTCTATCTGGAATCTGTCTGAAATTTCTGTCTTCCGAAATTATTCCTTTGTCTGCAATCGGGATTTCGGGTTTCCAGTAACAAAGTTCCGGTTCCATACTCCGGATAGTGAAAAGTTATACCGGATTTTTCGGTAGGGAAGGGACATGAATGCACATCTGGAAGACTTTGATGGACATACAGACACAACAGGGAGGACGTTAGAGGAGTTCTGCAAAGCTCTTGATCTGGTATTGGTTAATGCTCAGGTAAAATGTGATGGAAAAATAACATGCGAAAGAAAGAACTCTCACTCGACTATTGACTACTGTTTAATGTCGCGTAAGATATGCAACAGATTAGGAGGCATGGAAATAGATGAGGAAGGCACAAAAAGTCTGGGGAGCGGCCATTAAAGAATCAAGATCAGATTTAGAACAGTCAAACCAGAAATGCAAAATCAGAAACAAGAAGAGAGAAATAACTTAAATGATAAACAACTACAGGAGGTATCTAAGCGAATTGAGAACATAGTACCCAAGCAACCGGAAAAAGAATGGACATATGAAGACTTAATTAGTGTTTTCAAAGAAGAGTTAGAGAAATATTGAATCAAACAAGGAGGAAGAAAACTGAAACCCAAGCTCAAAAGATGGTGGGATTAAAGGCCGCAATATCGAGACGCCAGGCGGCATCTAAAGAACACAGATAAGCAAAGAAAAAGGGGGCCACACTAGCTGAAATAGCGTCAAAATGGGAGGAATTTCAGGAAAGAAAGCGGGAGGCATCAGCATTAATACAGGCCAAAATTGGGAGGGCAGGGGTCCAGTGGATGATAGAGATAAGCCAGAAGGATAGGAATGCGGCAAAGAGGTTTTGGGAACACATCAGTGCGCAGGGAAAAAAGATCGAGGGGTACTAGCAGATACTAACCACACAGGAAGGGACAAAGGTAGAGGGGGAAGAGGCAAGAGAATACAATATACATACAATCGAAGCAGCATTTTCGGAGTTAGAATTAAATCAGGCCTTAGGGAATGGTAGCGTCTACACAACACAAGGTGAGGATCTTAGTGAAGAAGAGGAAATGATTACTGGGGAGTGGGAGAAAGCACAAGGAATGGTTCTGGCTGGAACTGCGACAGGTCCAGACGGCATACCAGTGAGGTTGATAAAAGTTCTAGGCAAAACAAGCGAATTGAAACTAAGGCAGGTGATTGACCAGATACTTCTGGGAGGGGAGGTACCCAATGACTGGAAATCGAGCAGGATGAGATTATTATATAAGGGCAAGGGAGACAAAGACAGTGTCAAATCATTCCGACCAATCACAGTAACTTCTGTAATATACAGGCTACCTATGAAAATCGGAAAAAGAAGAATGGAAGAATGGGCAGAGAGAAAGCATATTATAGGGGAGCTTCAAAACGGTATCAGGAAAAATAGACGACTAGATGATAATTTATTCGTAATCACTCAGTGCATAGGGATAGCAGTGACAAGTCAAAGGCCATTATGGGTACCATTTTTAGACATCAAAGGGGCATATGACAATGTGAATCAGGAAAAACTCTGGAGCCAACTGAAGAGATATGGACTAAAGGGAACCATTGTTAAGTTTCTTGAACGGGTTTATGCGTAGAATAGGGTGGTTATAACATGGGAAGCCAAAACTACAAGACCAGCAGCAATAAAAAGAGGTCTTACACAGGGTTGCCCATTGTCTCCCCTGCTCTTTATGATATACCTCAGTGAGATGGAAAAAAGGTTAGAACGATGCAACCTAGGTTTTGGCCTGACTTACATGGAGGAAGGCGAGACGCGACAGAACAGCACACGACAAAACAGCACGCGACAAAACAGCACGGTCAAAACAGCACGCGTCGAAACAGCACATTGTCAAAACAGCACGGCGACAAAACAGCACGGCGACAAAACAGCATGCGTCAAAATAGCACGCGACAAAACAGCACAGCGTCAAAACGGCAGGGCGACAAAAGAGCACGTGCCAAAACAGCACGGCGTCAAAATAGCACGCGACAAAACGGCACGCATATACCAACTTCGAGCGCGCTTTTCACCTCTCTCTGCGCGAATAATTTCGAACCTTCTTGACCCTTTCATTTTTTGGCGCTAGGTTATAAAGGATGGGGGCATACTTGAAGAGATTGGGTAGTTAGAGGTGATATCTTCGCGTCGATGTTGGCCGCGTTGTCTGGTCTTTTTTGTAGGACCAGCGAAAGCGGAAAAGTTATTGGGAAAAAGAAATTCATAAATTACCACTTATGCGTAGAACGCCCTCCCCCCCCCCCGCCCCCCCCCCCCCCCCACTCCCCCCCCCCCAAAAAAAAAAAAAAGAAAAAAAAGCGGGAGATGCGTTGATTACAGATGCATTGATAGAACCGGTAAGGATAAGGTGACTTTAATATCGAGCGTATTCAAGGTGTACCATGGGCACCGATATGCGCGGTTCATCCGCCGTGAATAAAATGTCCAGGAAACACGCGGCTGCAGCTTGCAGGCGAGAAGTCGTTTTGAATTAAATTCACAGATTATTTCCGACGAAGGCCTCGATCGAGGGGAAACCGGTGAAGCAGAAACATGCCACAGCCACAATACTGCTGCCGTACAGCATGGGCTGAGCACACTGTTGCCGCACACCCTTTCTGTTTTTTTTTTTTTTTTTTTTTGTTTTAACAATAACGACAACATTAATTCGTTTTTTTTTTGTTTTGTTTTTTTTTTGTTCTGTAGACGACATTGCCACCAAACTTGCGCGTCAAAATTAGCAGAACTGCTCAAGCAATCGTCAGAATACCGACTAGCGGGGGCTTCGGTACTGCCCAGGGAGCCTTCACGTGCGCATCGAGTATACTCCCCACT